ATTTGCAATTATATGTAACCATAGCTATGGGTCTCGTAAGCGCCGTATATTCACTGCACACATAACATGTCAATACATTGTAATCGCATTTAAACTTACTTTTAACGCAACTCTCATTGCATTGAATCCGAAAATCATAATAAATAGTATTTATCAACACTTTAAGGCTTCGGTACACAACTACTGTACCTGTTTGTGGTGTGACTACGTTTGTGCCCCCACTCAATACCCTGTTAATTGTTTTTGAGTGGTTTTGTATGTCTTATTTGCTCCCTCAACTGCCCTTATATAGTGTACTGTTGTATATGAGTGTTTGAAAGTGAAACCATAACAACAACACCTGTACACTGACTTCAACCCCATCTGTAATGCATTCGTTGTAACCCTTGACTTGATTTTGTGCTAACTTTTAAAGTTGTCGTTCAATTCAAGTTTTATATGAGTTTTGATTTTTAATTTAGTTTTTAACTTTAATTTTAATTTTAATTTTAATTTTAATTTTAATTTTAATTTTAATTTTAACTTTTTAATTTTTTTGTTTAACTGTTTTGTTTCAGACGGTGTCGGAAGTGATTTTAGTGAACTCATCCAAACTGAATCAATATCTGGAGAGTAAGCCCAACATAAGTCAGTCTACAGGCGCTGAATGTGCACTCGTTATCTTCTACTACAAGTGGTGTCCCTTTAGTGCCAAATATGCCAAACATTTCAACGCATTGGCCAGAGTTTACCCACAGTTTCACGTGTTAGCCATCGATGCCTATGGACTCAACAGGTATATAACAATACAGATATCATTTGACAACAGATAGTGATATTCCCATGCCTTACATCCCTGCGCAGTGTTAACATGAGGTATGGCTTAGTAGGCATTCCCAGTGTCTTATTCTTCCACAACGGGAAAGTTGTGGGAAAAGTGAACGACTCGGAGCCCACTGTCGACGGCTTTGTCACATATATTAGCCAATTGACGGGTATGTCGCCCGTGGGCTCCACCAATATCACCGAATCAGACCTGTCGGGCCCCCTGTCCAGTGAGCCGGAGCCCCGCTTTGACT